CCTTTTTTTTTTTTTTTTTTTGTAGCCTTTATTTAAATAATATTTAGCTCAACAATTATAACAAAGGGAAAAAAAAAAATAATTGAGTTAGAAGTATAACAGTAACAGTGCTATGTTATAATGGTATAACAAATACGACAATAATTGTTAGTATACTCAAAAATAAAGAAAAAATTAAATATTATTAAAATTATTGTTAATAGAAAATTAAAAGTACAACTTAACGAATTACTAAATTAGAAATTTTTATTTGAAAAAATGGAGGATGAGAGAAAGTAAATAAAATAGAAGAATATAAAATAAAATAATGAGAGATTAAATGACAAAGCCGGAACTCCTTAAGAAAGATATGATTGAAATAATAATAAAGGAAGAACGGGAATTAAGAGTATTAGCTACGGAAGGGGGATTAATATTGTGGGAGGCTAAGAGGCTGAATAGTTTATTTCTGCTGTTAATTAGGGTAGGACATTCAAAGAGAAGATGAGAAAAATCGCATAGAGCTTCACTATCATGTAGGGGGCAGACGGGAACAGAATTTAAGGAAAGATGAAATGCATGATAAGGCAGGAGATTATGACCTAACCTAAGTCTTGAGTACTGAGAAATTATATTTCTGGATAAGTCAAGGTTATGAAACCATGGAGAATGTATAATGGATGGAGAAATCGAGCGGTACCAACATACCGTTTTCAAATTTATTGTAGCCCAACTGTCCTGCCAGGCTTGAAGAACTGTATGTCGAAAGAGGCGGAGAAAGTCAGAAGCGGGAATATTATGGCTAGAAGAAGTAAAGAAGGGGGAAGTAGAAGTTGCAAGACGGTCAGCTATTTCGTTACCTAATATACTGGCATGGCCCGGCACCCATTGAAAAACAATAGATTTATTTTGGGATCGAATTAAGGAGATAAGTGATCTAATAATAAGAATCTAAGGAGAAAGATGAGAGCAAAATGGATTATAAGTGAGGGCAAGTAGGCAAGATAGAGAATCAGAAAAAATAGCAAATTCATTAATTGAAGTAGAAGATATAAAAATGAGAGCATTAACGATGGCAAGGCATTCAGTGGTAAAAGAAGAAGAAGGGTGGAGTGCAGCTGAGTATGAAATATTAAGTTCAGGAATAAAGAAAGAACAACCAGCCGAGTTAGTTGATACAGAACCATCTGTGAATATCAAGCATTTAGTCGGAAAATTAGCTGAGATATAGTCTTTGAAGAGATTATTAACGGAAGGTGCAGGAAGAGAACGGAGGATTGAAGGAGGGAAGCCGAGGAAACATGTTGAAGTATACGCTATGGGAGCTATTGTCAGAGCCACTAGAGGACAGTCAAATAAAGGTAATCTGGAGTGTGATTTGTAAATGTGACAGACCATGGGTGACAGAGAAGAGCATACTGAGGCTAAAATTGGAAGTGATTTAGGCACGTAGCGCCACCAATTACTTAATTCGGAGTATAAGGAGAAGATATGTTGGTTAGGGGTGGAGAGAGATTTTAGGAGAAATTTATTAGCAAGCAAGCGACAGTGGATTTCGAGGGGGGCAGAGGAGCACTCAACAAAAATACTATGGCTCGGGGTAGACTTAAGAACACCAAGAATGCTGCACAAGCATGCGGATAAAAGGGAATTAAGTTTTTTCCTATGAGTGTAGGAAGCTGAAGAAAAGAAAAAAGAGCCGTATTCAATTTTAGCGCGGATAACAGATTTAAAAATGAGAAGTAATGAAGAGGGATGAGAGCCCCAGGATGTACCAGTAATACAGCGTAGGAAATTTGCCCAGCGAGCAGCGGACGAGAGAATAAAACGAAAATGAGGAAGCCATCTCAGCTTAGGATCCAGTTTAAGGCCTAAATAAGTGACGCATTCAGAGGGGGGGATGGTTATCCCATCAAGAGTAATTATAGAGTAAACTGACGGTAAGCGTTTTCTAGTGAAAATTATTAACTGGCTTTTCAAAGGAGCAGCCTCAAAATAATGAATTTGAAGAGAGTTAGAGAGGACGGCAAGTGAATTATTAAGGGAGTTGAGGGCATTATGAATGGACATATGAGAAGAAAAGAGAACGATGTCATCAGCATAGAAAAGTGAGGAAGTACCACTAGAGGTGAGGGAGAGACTAATTTTGCTCATGTAAATATTAAAAAGAAGAGGACTAAGGCAGCTTCCTTGTGGGAGGCCGCGATAGGAAGTGCGGTTTAATATTAAACCGAAATGAGAAGTGAAAGTAAGAAGACGTTGTGAGTAGAGACGTGAAATAAAATTACAGAGTGTAGGGGGTATAGAATAAGAATGTAAAAGGGAAATAAGGGTAGGAATGTGTACAGAATCAAAAGCACCTTTGATGTCAACAAAGACAGCGGGGCAATAGGATTTTTCACAAAATGTTTTGTATATACTGGCCGTGAGAGTCGATAAACACTCCATGGTGCTCAGCCCTCTCCGAAACCCGTATAAATTAGGGGGAAGACAGTTATTTTTTTCAAAGAACCAATCAAGGCGGTTCTTGATAATGTGTTCGACTACTTTGCAAAGCGAAGAGGAAAGAGCTATTGGGCGAAATGCAACAGAAGCTGAGTTAGATTTAGGGACGGGAATGACGTTAAAATTACGCCAAGAATCAGGAATAACACCTTGGGACCATAAAGAATTAAGAATGACTAAGAGAAGTTCAAGGCAATGAGAAGGGAGATGTTTTAGAACCAAAGGGGAAATTCCATCCAGACCAGAGCTGGACGATTTACGTGAATAAATTGCATAGGAAATTTTATTAAGTGTAAATGAATCAGTAAGAGGATGAAAAGGGAGAAAATTAAGGAAAGGGTTAGGATCAAGGGTGGGAGAGGATTCTTCTAATGATGGGACGTAGGGGGGAGCAACCTTATTGCAGAAGGAATCAAACCATGACTCGTTTAAAGAGGGGGAATTTTTATATAGACAGTTTTTAAATTTTTTAGCAATAGTCCAGGTATTGGACAGGCTAGAAGAAGGATTAAGTGAGGAACAGAAAGAGCGCCAGGACATAATTTTTGCTTGTTTAAGTGTTTTTTGAACAGAGGCGCGTACCTTTTGGTACTCAAAAAAGTCACTTAGCAGACCCGAGGATCTATATTTTTTAAAAGCTTTAGTGCGCTCATTGATAGCGTAGGTGCAAGAGGAAGACCACCATATTGGAGAGGAGGGAAAGGACTTTTTGGTTTTTTTAATTAAAGGAACAGATAAATTAACTGCTCTAATAATTGTAGACACGAACCAGTTGTAGTCCTCAATGGGAGAGGAGGAGGAAAAATTAGAGGTGAAAATGGTCATGTAATTTTGAAAAGATGGCCAATCAGCTTTCGAATGATTAAATCTGTTAACAACAGTGTGAGAGGAAGAGGGAGTGGGAGAATTTGTGTGAGTGATAATGATGGGAAAATGATCACTACCATGAGTGCAGTCTAGGACAGACCATGACAACAACAACGAGAGAGATGGAGATGAAATGGTTAGGTCAACCGCGGAATCCATTTGGGAAGGGCCCGTAAGGAGGGTGGGGAGTCCTGTATTGAGAATACAAAGATTATAGGCAGAAATAGCAGAAGAAATGATATTACCACGATGATTGGAGATTAGTGCACCCCAAGAGGGATGGTGACCATTAAAGTCACCGCCTATAATAGAATTACAAGAAACTAAAGAAAAAATGTTATCAATTAGTATAGAAGGAGGGTTGGAAGAGGGGGGAATGTAAATAGACCAAATGGCAATGGGATTGAGTAAGTTAGTAAACGCCTGGATACCGACAAGATCTATAGAATGATTAAGAAGAGAGATTTTTAATATAGGATCAATAGAAATAGGGTTAATGTGGATAGAATGATGAGAGGCGATGGCTACGCCGCCAAAACCGTCGACACGATCGGAGCGATTAATGTTAAACTGTGGAAGATAAACACGTTTATTTGAAAGGAGCCAAGTTTCAGAAAGGAGAGCAAAAGAACATTTATTATTAGAGAGGAGAAAAGAGAGATCATGCATTCTAGGGGATAAACTTCTTACGTTCCATTGAAGAATATTGAAAGAAGGAAAGTTAGGATTACTATTAAAATGTGTCATCATTGTCTGATAAAGGATAGTGGATGTTAGTTAATGAAGATTCTATAGTTGATTGAAGTATTGAAGGAGAAGAAATTAAATTAGGATCGCTCGCGAGTAGCTGAACGATATGTTGCGATAAGCAGGAAATCCAGTTACGGTCATCAACATTAGTACTACGATTTTGGGATATGTATTTTAAAAAACTGCCATTAGGCGAAATTGGCCTAGAACAGTCATTTGGTAGAGGAGGAAAGTGGGGGGAGGGGAATTGAGTTTTATTACTTTTTTTCTTCTTTTGTTTATTTGTATATGTATTAGTAGAATGACTAAGGGAAGGAAAGGAAGGAGAAGCTACGACTTCGACACTAGATATATTTGTATTTTTAGCAACATCAGAAAAGGTAAAAGCTTTATTAACTAAACTGGAACGTTTGATCGAGGAGGCTTCAGAAAATGAGACATTGTTTGTGGCCATTATCTTTTTAATGTCCTTTTGCACAGACCATTCGCTGCAAGATCTATCAGTCGCAAGGTGGTTCAGTTTACAAAAAATGCACGAAGGAGGTGTGGTTAACTTGACGTTACAATTAGATTCGGTGTGGTCAAAGATACCGCAGTGACTGCAGCGCTCCTTACTGCGACAGAATTTAAGGGTGTGACCAAAACGTAAACACTTGCGACATTGGACAGGAGAACGAATACTCGGAGAGACTTCAAAAATAACTTTGTATATTGATAATTTTTGAGGAAGAGTTGCTGACAAAAATTTAAGTTCAACTAAATTTGAAGAAACGAGGATGTTATCCTTTTTTATATTAATGCGTCTGAATGAAATAACTTTGACTGAACATTCATAACCTTCCCAAAAGTCTTCTTCAGAGATACTTTTATCAAGACGTATTATTCCAATACTATATAGTAAAGTACTAGGAATATTCGCAGAATAGCCGTGTTCAGAAAGAGAAGGGGAAGTGAGACAATTGTTGGCGTTATTAACCGACTCGAACGTGATTTTCACACGCTTAGCGCCGATAGGGTTTATGCTCAGAATACCAGGAAAAAGTTTGGAAAAAGTTTTACCGAGCTTAACTGGGTGAAAATTACCTAAGTTATTATCACCAGATGCAGAAACAAGTACATTGAGGGGACCAGTGTAGTGTAGTGGAAAACATTCAGGAACATTGGGTTGCCTGACTGTTGAAGTATTAGGAGAATCGACATAGAGCGAGTTTATGTTTGAAGTTGGCGAACCGGGTGACGTCACAACGATGACTTCTGGTGAGCTACAATCCATGCTGAAAGTTTGAGATTGGGGATCATCGGATTTTGATTTACCGTCAGATTTAGGTTTTTTGTGTAAGGGGCTAATTGGCGATTTAGAGCCTTGATTGTTCTTACCAGAATAACGCGAATTATCCATGGAGACTTGTGGGTTGGAAGAATGCGGAGTGCTTCTACGGCGCAATGGGGGGTGGTGCTGATCACCTCCTCCCGGATTAGGTCTGGCTTGCATCCAGAGCCCCGGCGGACACAGTAAATGTGCCACTAAGGCGGAACTATGGATTCAAAACTAAAAAAAAACTATGTATAACGAAATAGTACTCTAAAAATAGGCGGGTAACTACAAACGTACGCGAGTAAACATGTCCGAATAATACGGCTGATAAATCGTAACTGGGAATGTTCACCTTACAAAATAAATTTTTTTGTTTTACCATTCATAAAATGGTCCCCTCTTGTACTTCAATTGCGAGGACACAATATTTAAAAAAAATCAGGGTGGATGTCGTAATATACTCGTTACTATGATAATATGATATAACAGAGGACTGCTCTGGTTGTATCAACAATATTTGTTCGAGCCAGGTGACAAGGCGTGTTGGAGACAATTGGTTCTTATCAGCCGTTTCCACCATCAACCTGTTGCGCCGACGATTAGTGACGGCGTTTGGAAAAAAAACCAGTTGATATATCGACGGGATATATGTCGGTTTATTTTCGGTTTAATCTCTCGCTTTCTTACTTTTTTGCGAGAATTTTTACGTGCAGCTTTGAGTTGTTGCCTGTTATAATTATTCTCGGTTTATTAAGTCACAGTGGTGATTGTGTTGTTCGTTGTTGGTTATTCATTTTATTATTATTATTATTATTGCGACGGTGCGAAGGTCGCCTTGAGTTTTGTGTACAATTGGTGTACTGGTGGACTTTGGTGACTATCATATTGCGGATAAGAGCATCGGCGACTTGACAATATTTAGCAATAGGTGAAAAGAACAATTAACAGGTTGGATCGAATTAATATATTTTTCGTATATAAGGGGATGCCCGCTTGATTGAATAGAATATTATTATATAATTATTAAAATATTATTAAACAGCTTAATTATCAACAAAAAAAAAAAAACCGGTATTGTTTAATCTCTGGGTGATCGGCCGGCGGTGACTTTACAATATTAGTCTTCCACTTAATCTTTTCATTTAAAGTAATTGTAGCTTTGGTTTATAAATTCTATTCATATAACATAATTCTTATCAAACAAATAATTTAAATATATAACTTAAAAAAACGCATTGTGTTGTTTAATATATTATTACACACGATTCAATTAGTAGTCATTCTATTTACCACAAGAAATATAGGAAATTATACTTGTCAGCTCTTTTTACTCTTATCTTAATAATAAAACACAATGTGTAAAACCCTAAACTTATATATAAAAACAAACTTATATTAACGTCTTATAAAGTATCAAAGTGATTTGTATATTATTCAAATGTATTAATCTCTATATTTTATGATTACTTGTCAATAAAACAATAACATTGCAGGAATTCAACAATGGTGATTTTTGGGGATATAAAATATTATAAAAGGCAGGCAATCCCTCACAACCTGTTCTATTCCTATCGCACTCTCGACATCATCACGCATAACTTGTAACCATCATTGTCGAATTTCTCAAGTGATAAAGTATTATAAAAAGTAATATCACAAAAACAGCATCCGTAAATTATTATTTGAAAAGTAAAAAAAAAAAAATTCCAGAGCGTTCTTTATTTATTTTTCGTCTCTCGGGTGATTACGGCCTCGAGTCTCGGATGCACGTTGCCAGAACAAACGAGTTTTTTATAATCGTTGTTGACGGTTGATGAGATATCTCGTAACTCAAAAATTAATAAAAAGAAAAAGAAAAAAAAATTGACAAAGATATTATTGAGAATAGGATAAAATTGAGAGTGTTGAAGTGAAAATGAAATTGAGAATAAGAGTAACTTTTGATTTGGGGTGTGATTCGAGGGTCATAAAATAACATAAATATCGACCATTATTGATTATTAAAAAAAATGTTACCTGATCATTTTTTTTCAGTTCTTAGAATATCTTAAACAATAGTATTAATCAATAATTTATGAATAAAATAACACAATTCCATTTAGTTCACAAACTAATGTTACGTCGCTATTTAGGGGTTGAGCCTAAATGCCCGTCGACAGTATTCTAAGGGACCAACGGGGGATAGCTGGCTAGGCTATATCTACCTTAGGTACTGAAGTTTGCTATTTAATTTATATTCCCTTAGAGGAACTACCAAGGGTCGCACTACAATATATATATATATAACACACTTTAGGTTAACAACGATATAAATAAATATTTATTAAGCAATTGAAATATTAAATAGATAATACAACCTGCTGGACACCTAGAGATGTTATAATCCAACAGGGAGCTGACGGCGACACACACACACACTATAATATACGGGGTAGCAAAGTTAAGTTAATTATCAGGCAAAAGTAGTGATCGCGAAGATGGTAAAATGTCAACTGTCGATAGGGATATCTTATTATGGCACATTGGCCGTGAATTGCAAAAAGTGTTTATGTGTGCAGTCCGCCCTCCTGTTAGTATTGTTGTATGTCACTGTGTTAATTATATATATATATATATATATATATATAACGATGTTATGGGAGACAGAGATATGGGCACATGCAAATGTGATCGTATCAATAGATTTACAGATAAAATAATTCTTGGGCACTTAATTTAAGATTTCCTCCAAATTTTTTGACCTTCCTTCAATAATTTTAAACTTAAAAAGTACAAAAAAAAAATTGTATTACAACAAACATTTAAACACTTTAATAAAAATATTCATATATATTTATTCATCGATATTAATAAAATATCATTAAATTCATACATCATACCAAGTATAGAAAAATTCAAAAACTTAAAAAATTACATATTAAAATAACCTTGAAGATTGATGGAAATAAACTTATTTTTATACATCCAATAACTATAATAAGTTTTAGTCTTTCTATATAATAAACATTTTTTGGGGCTTTATACGTCTAGTAAATGATATTATTGCACATTGGTCAAAATTTCTTTTTTATACGCCAAATAGTAAAATTATGAAGATCTCTAAGTATATTTTTTCAATAATCCAATGAGTTAATTGCCCTAAATAAGTTTAAGTTGTTAATAAAAACATAACTAAACCTAAGTACAAAGTTTTAAAAAATTCGTGAAAATTAAAAAAAAAAACAATGGAGACAAATTTTCATCTTGGATTACTCCTGATGGGATAAAGTATTAAGTATTAAGTATTGAAAAATGACGAAAGTCTATTGGAATATAATCTCATTTTATCCTAACTTGTTAAAATGTCCTAACCTAAGATAGTTAATTTAGAAGAATTATATGAATGTCATCTATTTGGCTGTTATTTTCAACTTCTTGAAGTATATTAGTAAAATATACAAGAAGATTTGTTGACCTTGATTTATGACATAATATTATAGCTATTTATAGTATAATAGTTTACTTTATAAATATTAATTTAATTAAAGTATATAGAATGCAAACTATCCAAAACATAATCGAAAATTGACATGTGTAGTTGGTCTCATTAAAACTTTCTTGTTTTCTCAAGTTTTCTATTGTATTTTCATGAATATCATCAAAAGAAAAGCTTATTTGTTGCTAATATGTGGATAACAAATTTATACAAATCAACTCTTTAATTCAAAATTATTAAAATTTTAAAATGTAAAAAAAAATTATGATTTTTAATTAATTAAGCGGCCACTTAATTATGAAATACTTATCCGATTTCTTAATTTTGAGGGAGATTTTTTTGGTTTCTGGTGCTGAAAAGTTCCACTTATTACAAATCGGGTTCCTTTGATACATACAAGATATCAAAATCGACCCAGTATGAGCGAGTATTTATATGGATAGATGGGAAAAACACATCATGATAAAATCTCTACCTTACAGCTTCACCATCAGAGCGAAAATGTATTATATTTAAAGGTGTAATTATTTTAAAATATTGGGAAAAGCTGTATGTATGTTTCAGTTTAAATTTTGAGACTATTTAAACTTTTATTCATGACCATTAAAGATATGAGAATTGATCACATATGGCTAATATTATTTAAAATTAAGTTTTTTACTTAGAAATAATCGTAAAATTTGTAAAAAAAAGAAAAGGTATAAGGGTATTAATATATAATTTGAAGTATAAAATCTCTAAATTTGAGCCTATAGGATTGCTAATAAGCACTTTATTATTATCCTATGATTTTTCGTTTATCTATTCGCCCTTCCCTTAAAATTTATTCCTACTGCAACTGAACAAAATACATATCGTATTTATTTGTATTTATTAAAATGTAATATTTTTACTAAAATAACTGGTACAGTTAATGAACACCTCTGAAAAGTGAACATTATTGGAATTTATAAACTTATAATGCATAAAACAACAATTTTATATTGTTCTTATATTAAAATGATAAGTGCGATTAGAAACAAACGAAAGTGATCATTAAAATTAAAATTATTTCCGTGAAATTTGTAATTATTAAATTTGTTAATTTAAATACAGTTTAAACATGCGTTTTAAAATAATCGTATGTATTAATTTAAATTATTTTCAAAAAATTTGTAATTGTTTGGTTAATATATGAAAAAAAAAATTCGCAAACACTACTATACAGGGTGATTTTTTTATCATAACCCACTCAATTACTTGCAGAATAATAATAATTTAAACTTTTTTTTTTTTTATTATCTTTAGTTACACATTATTCTTGAATTTTTAACTGCGTAATACTTTTTAAGTTCATCCCTTATGCCTTGGAAGGGGGTCAACTTTGTTTTTTTAAATGTTAACACATATTTTTAATTTAATAAAATGTTTGAGTTTTTAATTTAATAGTAAATGGCATTTGAATTTTTAATATAACTTAATTCGTTTATTAGATATAATCATTTAAAGTTTCAAATTTTTGAATTAATATACAGGTATAATACACAAGGGATTACAAATATAGGTAGCTAATTGGTTTTTTATAACATCGATATTAGCAGGTACACAGCATTGTTATTATCAATTGTAGTAAGGCACATTGTTATGAGTTTATAAATACACTAACTGACAATACAGAAAGTATATCTATTGATAATCATAATTGATAATAAACAATCCGTGACTGAGACAGCAATGTCATAAAAATCCAATTAGCTACCTGTATTTACAATCCCATGTGTATTA